CAATGTTAGCTGTAATTTGTTAGGACCTTGCATAGTTGGTTGAATACAGGTAAACATCTTTCTGGTATTCTTTGTTTTCAGCCAAGATCCATCTAACATATCCTTTGTTCCATGTGCTTTTCTAAATCTAACTTCAATTTCTAGTAGTTGCCTATGTACTGCTGCAATTGTTGAGCTATTTTCAGCAAAATTTTACTTACATATGATATTGATAGTGTTCGATAATTTGCACATTTTGTTGGATCACCTTTCTTTGGAATGGGCACAAATAGGGATCTCTTCAGTCAGTTGGCCAGTGGCTATCTTGCAGCTTTCTTGGCATAAACAAGTAAGCACCTCCAGCACTGCATCTCTTTGTTGAAACATCTCAATGGATATTCATCAATTTCTGGGGCCTTGTTTTTTTTGCCAGTGCCTTCAGTACAGCTTGGAGTTCTTCCTTTAATACCATTAGTTCTCTTTTTTTTTTTTTTTTGAATTTTTATTGTGATTTGGGTGAAAGTTTACAGAGAAAATTGGTTTTCCATATGACAGTTCACATATACTTTGTTTCATGACATTGACTGCAATTTCCCACAATGCAATAGCTCTCTTCCCACTTCCTCCCCATAGTTGTCTCTTCCCTGTGTCCCTCCCTCCCTTGCATTCCTGCCCCTCCCCAAGCTGTCTCCCTCTGCATACACAGCCCTTCTGTTCTCCCATGATGGAGCTCTCCAAGGAGTGTATCTGCCTTATGTAAATGCTTAGCTCATATGCCTATCTTTTGTTTGGCTGGAAGCCCCAAGGGTGGGTTCAATTCCAGACCTAAAGGTCAGCTCGGGGCCATAGTCTCAGGGGTTTCACCAGGCTCTATCAGACCTGCAAAACTGGTCCCCCCACCCCCTTTTTTTTGTTAAATGGTTTTGAGTTTTGTTCCACATTGTTCTCTCACTCTATCCAGGATCTCCTACATAGATCCCCCTCTGAGTGGTTGACAGTGGTAGCTGGGTACTATCTAGTTCTTAATACCATTAGTTCTTGATCATATATTATCTACCTCCTGAAATGGCTGGATGTCAACCGATTCTTTTTGGTAAGGTGACTATATTCCTTCCTTCTATCTTCTTTTGGTATCTTCTGTCTTCCTGCATGGGAGCTCTGGTGATGTAGTGCCTAAGGCATTTGACTGCTAACCAGAATGCTGGTGGTTCAAACCCACCA